AAATTATGCCCAGAATTTTATTATAATTTTCGAAAATAATTTAATTTCTGCAAATAATTTAAATACTTTAGAAAATAATTGAATTCTTCTATTGAATATTATTATTCAAAAAAATAACTGAATTTTGCTAAGAATTTTATTAAAAATTCTTGAAAATAATTGAATTTTTGCTAAGAATTTTGTTATTTATCAAGATAATTGAATTCATTCGAATAATTGCGTTAAAACTTTTGAAATAATTGAATTCATAATTTTAAAAATTGAACTTATTTCAACAGAATTGAAAACAAAATTTTTCAAAAAAAAAAATAGTTTAAATGTTTGGGTAGAATTATATTAAAAATTTTTTTAAATACATAATTGAATTTTTTTTTTTGAAAATTTTTTTAATATAGTAGATATTGAAAATCATTGAATTGAGGGAAGTTTTTGAAAATAATTGATTTTCGGTGAAGAATTTTATTATTTATGAAGACAATTGAAATTCTGACAGGAATTTTTTTAAATTGTTGAACATAATTGAATTTCTAACAAGAATTTTATTACTTTTGAAAATAATTGAATTTTTGTAATTATTTGTAACTTTTCCAAAATTGAATTAGTGTTTTTAACTAAAATTGTATTTTAAATCCATTATTTTTAATAATTATAGCAGCAAATGTAATAAAACGTAAATGTACTTTGTATTCCTACTTAAATAAAGTTGTACTTCTTTTAAAGTTATTAAAAATATATAATTTATTATTAATTGGTACTACTATTAATAGTAACTATACTAGTAATTGTAATTACCATTAGTTGAAAATACTATCAACTATAACTATCCTTAAATGTAAGTTCTCTCAATAATTATCATTAAATGTAACATCAATTAGTTGCAAAAAAATCTATTTTTCATATCTACACTGGAAAAAAAATTTATTTGATTCAAATAATCGATTAATTGACTATTATCAATTGACTATTATCAATTAAATATTTACTTGAATCAAATAATATTTATTGGAGTCAATTAAATGGTTCAATTCATGTTTTCTTCAAATACTGAAATTATTGGTTCAAATATCATTTAATTGATTCCAATAAATATTATTTGATTCAAGTAAATATTTAATTGATAATAGTCAATTAATCGGTTATTTGAATCAAATCAATTTTTCTCTCTGTGTATTTATAATTGTAGCTACTATCGATTATAACAACCATAATTTACAACTACTATCTTTTGGGAATTTCCCCAACAGTGGAGCGGGAATGAATAAAATATCGAAGGTTCTAATGAGGCGTGGGAGAGGCTATTCCGTGTCCACGATATAACCCGAATCACCGGAAATGCTTCAACTGTTTCAAGGGAATGAGCAAAAGAAGAAGAAGAAGAAGAAGAAAAAGAGAAAAAAAATCTTTGTTTGTATACATAATCGATTTTCCGTTGAGCGTTACCCTGCTGTTTAATTCCTGAACAATTACCTCTCGTTACAATCTAACGGTGCATAATTACACGTTACGTTTCATTGATAAATTGCCGTTTTCCTTACGGTCCCAACTTGGAAACATTGACGGTTTGCAATAATACAAAACTTTTCTCTATTCTTTCTTTCTTTTCCTTTATTTTTTAACATTATAATTCATCAATTTATATAAAGAGAGTACCGCGCGCTCATGTATCGTATTCAAATTATGTGACACAATAATCATTTTGTATTCATTTGAATTACTCAATAATTCACTGTGGAATAAATAATGACGATGAGGTTTACGCAGTATTTGATGGTAAAAAGAGAGAAAAAAGAATATACTATTGTAATGATATAATGAAGTAAAAAGAAGAGAGTTATTATCAGTATTTAAATACCTGCGCAAGGATAGATTAATTATATTGCCATTAGAATGGTGAGATTTTCGTTTTTTGAGAAATTCTCGTTAAATATCTGATATAGAATATTCTATTTGTAATTTGTAAAAATTACAAATTTTCAAGTACATTGTACTTTTTTCGGAGTTTATTAAATCGTTAGTAAAATTAAGTAAATCGAGTATATTATTAACTTAATTTTATAATAATTATTTCTAAAGTTTAAGAAAATAGTTATCACAGTCTCATTATAATGAAAGAGTATTTAGAAATTTTTTTTTGTTTCAGAATTTTTCGATCCAGTAGGATTACAGTAAGACTTCTTTAATCGGACTCCTTAATTCCTCTAATCTCTCAATTTGTCACTACTTTTCTTTTGGAAAAGAAACATTACATATTCTATTCTATTTGTCAATTACAAATTTTAATTGAAAATGAAATTGAAACTTTTAAAATTTTTAGAAAATAAAGGAAAAAAATTTTACTCAAAAAAAAATGTTCTGTTACATTTATTAACGAACTTCTTTAATTGTAAAATTATTCGAAAACATCAATAACATTTTTTTAAATAAATATTTAAATATTATTTTTCCGTAGGAATTAAAATTTTTCAAAACATTCAAATTCAAATCTTTTTAAATTCAATTGCTAATAAGACACTGAATTTCAAAAAGTGTTAATAAATCTCTATAAAGAGGTTCCACTGAATCTTCAAAGATTTATAATACTGTAAATTGAGTCAAATTTTCAATATTCTTTACCCCAGAAACAAATAAAGACGTTCCACTGTGTATATACTTTTTAAGAAAGATTTAAGTTTCTATAAATCTTCTCTTTCTCCCCGTAAAGTTTTCTCTTGCTTTGCATTTATAATCGCAAAATCAATTTCAAACAGTTTTCACTGTATATTCACGAATTGATTGAAAAATTCAATTTTCCTCGATTCGTTTGAAAAGTAATCATTCATTTTTTTCCTTTATAATAATAACAATAATCTCAATAATCATAAAAAGAAGTTTCAATTAAATTAAAATCTATTTGTTTTCCTTTCTTCAATTTAAAAAAAAAATATTTACCATCTCTCGTTTAAGGGGAGGGTACACCGATATTTTTAATTATTTATTTATTTACACACAATTATATCAAGAAAATAATTTTTATTTTAAATTTAACTTCTTTACTACTTTTTTAAAATAAAATTAGCAATTTTAAAAATTTTAATAGAATTTAAAAATTTTCTAATTTAAATTTTTGTTGAAAACACTAAAAAAAAATTCAATTTTGAAGAAATTACAAATAATTGCAGAAATTCAATTATTTTCAAAAAAATAAAATTTTTCCTATAAAATTCAACTATGTTCAAAATTTAAAAAAAATCCCAATGATCTTTATAAATAACGAAATTCTTCTCCAAAGTTGAATTATTTTCATAAATATGTCAAAAAAAATTCTTGCCCTAATTTCAATTATTTTCAAAAATGTTTCTAATTTCAATGATTTTTAATATCTATTATTTTAATAAAATTTCCCGAAAAGAATACAATTATTGAAAAAAAATTTAATAAAATTGTATGCAAACATTTAATTATTGTCGCATAAATAATAAAAATTTCACAGGAATTCAATTATTTTCATAAATAATAAAATAGAATTTTTTCGAGGAATTCAATTATTATTTTCATAAAATATAATTTAAAATTCTAGAAAATAATAATTGAATTAAAATGATGAAAATAATTTTGATGAAGTTACAGTAATAAATATTTTTATAATATAAAATAATGATTTTATCTCTCGGTCATCATTAATTATTATTATAAAACATGAAGAAATCGATCACTCCGAGTCTTCGACTCGGAGCAATCGATATCTTCATGTTTTATAACAATATACTTTTATAAATTGTTTAATTTAAAAAAGGTTTGAATTTGAAATTTTTAAATGTCTTAATTTCTGTGGAAATCATGTTTCAAAAATAAGATCAAAAATAGGAATTGTGGAAATATTTTTCTTCATTCTCTAAAACAAAATAATAATTTTGTTCAAAAAATTGTGATTCATAAATAAAAATAATGCAAAATGAATAAATTTTCTATTTCTTAATCACAGTTGTTTAACAATTTTTTAATTTTGTTTAGAAGTAAAGAACGAAAATCTCCATAGTTTCAATTTGACAAAACATAATATTTAACAAAATTTTAGTCTTCTAATGAAAAGCATTGAAAAAAACTTTGATGATTTCTATTTGTCATTACAATTTTGAATTAATTATAAAATAAAAATAATTAGAACATAATAATATAATATACAATCTATCCAAAGATAACAAAAAAAATGTATAAACTAAAGACAACTTTAGACTGTGAGGGACAGAAAAATGGAATGAATGAAAGAACATTCAAATTATTATAGTTAATTAATTAATTAATTAATTAATAGTTAATTAATTAATTAATTAATTAATAGTTAATTAATTAATTAATTAATTAATTAATTAATTAATTAATTAATTAATTAATAGTTAATCGATTAATTAAATATTTTTAATTAATCAATTAATCGTTTATTTGAATGAAATAAATTTTTTTCAATAGTTAAAAATATAATGGTGTACCTTCCCTTAGAAAAATTCTATTAAAAACATTTTTTACAAAAAAAAAATATCTTCAATTAAAGAGATACGATTGTATTCATTTAGTATTAAAATGAAGATATATTCGGCTGCCTTTAAAACTATCCCAGAAAATCCACACCGCAGTCGCAATTCCAAGTGATTAATTTGAAGAATTTTCGATGGAGAGATGGCTATTCAACGAAAAGTGAGATGAGGAGGAGAGAAAAACGAAATTCTTAAAACAGCGGGGGATGAATTTTGCCATTTCATGAAGATGGAAAGACATAAGACAGACAGTAAGGAAGCTAAGACGCTTCCAAGTCGGCGAATAGAAGTAAATGAGGTATTTGAAGGTATGGGGGGACAGGGAGATGGAGAAGGGAGAAGGAATTGTTAGGGCAAAGGATGAATTCCCTGAATGAGAGTGAGAAAGAGGGATCGAGTAGGGGGAGTTGGGTGATGGGTGTCCGCGAGTTCAGCGCACGGCATGAGGTTTGTACGCCGGTACATTGGTTCGTCAGTGAGTGCCGCGACTCCTTCGCGCCGTGTCCTGAGTCCTTGTTGTGATTCTCAAAAACGCGTTTAACCCTCGTGCTTTTTGCACGTTCACCAATTCCCATATGTCAAAGTATCAACAACAAATTTCCACGTGCATTGTTTTATAATTCAAACTTGTTTTCCTCTTTTTTTCAAAACCAAAAAAGAAAAAAAAATTTTAAATCAAAAACAACATTAATTTTCCAAAGAAAAAAAAATTTTTGTTTTTTTTCTCTCATCTTTAAATTGCGAATCCTCGTGCATGTCACCACCGTAAATTTCATCATTCCCGGAAGTGCCTGAAAGGCGCCTCGACTTTCCGTGGTACGTACCCTTCAAGTGTTTTTTTTATGTTTTATATTGCTACTTTTCACTGAAAAGTGCAGAGTGTATGTGTGTTAAAAACGCAAGCTTCTGGCAGATTGCAGCTTTCATCAAGTGGAATAAAAATAAAAGAGAACGTATTTCCTCAAAAAAATAAAATATAAAGGGAAAAGGAGAAAAAAAATTAACAAATGACAAATTCTCTTTCCGAAGAGATTAGAAGGAAAGTAGTTTATGGAATAAAAAATATTTGTAAAGAAAATTTAAGGGACAGAAAATTCTTATTCGGTAATTGGGTAATTAATTGTTTTTGATGATTAAATGTATTAAAAACTTTATAATTTGTATTGTAAATATTACAATCGGTATCAAAAACTTTACAATTTGTATTGTAAATATTACAATCGGTATCAAAAACTTTACAATTTGTATTGTAAATATTACAATCGGTATCAAAAATTTTACAATTTGTATTGTAAATATTACAGTTTGTATTGTAAATATTGCAAGCTGCATTATAAATATTGCAATTTGTATTGTAAATATTTAGTTTATATTGTAAATATTTCAATTTGTATTGTAAGTATTGCAATCTGCATTGTAAATATTACAATCTGTATTGTAAATATTGCAATTTGTATTGTAAAGATTTATATTTGTATTGTAAAGATTTAAATTTGTATTGTTAGTCTCACAATTTTTATTTTATTCTCTAAATTTGAATTACTAAAAAGTTACGGATGAAATGGTAAAAAGTCGTCCACCAATTAATTTAGTAATAATTTTACTTGCATTTAGTGAAATCTCGCTAATTGTTAGTTGGATTTTACTAATTTTTTAATGGAATTCTACTAACAATTAGTAAAACTATTTTTTTTAAAGTCGATAAAACAATTTCACTAATTAATTTAGTCAATTAGAGGATTATCAATTACTACAATTTTAATAATTCAGATTTAGAAACGAAAAATTACAAACTGATCTCTAAATATGAATTAGTAGAAACTTACTAATAAAATGAAGAAATGTCATTCACCAAATGATTTAGTAATAATTTTACAAGCAAACAGCGAAACTTTATTAATTGATTGTAGAATTTTACTAAAAGTTAGTAGAACTGTTTTACTAAATAAGTCGATAAAAAAGTTCCACTAATTCATTTAGTGAGTTAGATGACTATTAATTAGGAAAATTCTACTACAAAACTAATATAATTATACTAATAATTACTCATATTTTACTAATGAAAAAGGAAACAAATCGTCCATGAAAATAACTAACAATTAGTAAAATTTTACTATTTTACAATTAGTATTGTAAATATTACAATTCGTAAAGAAATTAATATGCAATTGGTACAGTAAACAATACAATCCGCATTGTAAATATTTTAGTCTGTATTGTAAATTTTACAATCGGTATTGTGAATATTACAATTTGCATTTTAAATACTGTAATAAGTATTGTAAATATTATAATTCGTATTATAATTATTATAAAAGGTTTTTTTGAATATTACAAATTGTAATTCAATTACTACAATCGGTATTGCAAACACTACAATTTACATGGTAGATTTTTCAATTTATAGTATCAATACTACAATTTGCATTCACAGTTTTTCTAAGGATATCAAATTGAGACAAAAAATTAATCAAAAGTTTTGCGAAGCAACGTTTTGATTCGTTTTTTGTCTCAATTTAAAATCCTTAGAAAAACTGTGTTGTAAATATTACAATTTCTGTTCTAAATACATTGCAGTTTGTATTGCAATTATTACGATCAGTATTGTAAATATTAGAATTGGTACTATAATTATTATTTCAAGTATTGTAAATATTAGCATTGGTATTGTAATTACTGCAATTAGTATTGATAATAATACAATCTGTCTTGTAAATATTTAAATCGTATTGCAAATTTTACTATCTGTATTGCATACACTACAGTCTATTTAGTAATTATTACAATTTGTATAGTAAATGTTACAATTTGTATAGTATTTATTTAAATGGTCGAATATTCTAATATTTCTCATTGATAAGAACAATTTAAATTATTTTTTCTTAATATGAAATTTCGTGTTAGTACTAAAACTTTAAACAGAATGAAAGAGTATCGCTTTCTTCAAGAAAAATTATCTTCTGATAAAACTTTGGGTATTAAGAATAAATTTCTAATTAAGGGTTACTTGCTTGAGTTTGGCACAATTTTTTAACCTAGTAATTTCCTATTCTCAGAGTACTTTGCGAAGTAAACCTGGGAAAGAATGCCTTAGACATTTATGGAATTTTTAACTAAATTTCAACATTTCGTTAAAAAAATTTTAATGAAAAAAAGTTTTTAAACTAATTCATTATGAGAAAATATTTCATTTAATCTTACTCTTCCAATCATAATGATTTCAATAATGCAAAAACAATTTCCATTACAAATTTTCATTAGAAATGTTATTTATAATGTCGATCAAACTTGTTTGTTTCTTTTTTTAAATTTTTATTTATTGAAAATTGAAAAAATAATGTTGAAAATTGAAAATATTAAAAATAATTAAAATGTTGTTTAACATACAAAATAGAAAACAAATTGTTTAAATATAACAAACAATAGTAAAAGAGAATATAATAAACTTCGTAAACAATAAAATAAAAAATTTGTATACCGTGAATGAAACAAAAGGAATGCAATTATTAAAAGTTAATTAGAAACATTGTGTTAAACATTCCGATGACATAATTTTTCAATTTAATATATAATGTTTCAGTGAATTTCTATACGAATCAAATTTTCTAAGCAGATGCATTGTAAGGGTAGAAGCCGTGCACTTTCTTTAATGTGAAACACATATTTCACAGTCGATTATACCTGAAGCTAATTTAAATAATTGCATCTAGAATAATACCTAATTTCATTGCGAAATAGAATTCTATTTCTATATCTATTTTAATTTTTCTATTCATTCTTTATAAAAAATTATTTTAGAAAAAGTAATTATAAAATATTTCCCACACATAATATTTATTTAGAGTCGTAAATAGAGATCAAATTTTTCATAAATAAAATTTGTTGCCTTTGAATAAAAACCCTCTCGGAGATAAATGTATAATAATTATTATTCATATCGTTGGAAGCTTATCTTTATTATTTTCTATTTTTATTTATTTAGCAAAATAATGCTTTTCTTTATTATTTTCAATTTATATTTATTTAACAAAATTATGCTTTTCTTTATTATTATTTTTTATTTATTTATTTAATCAGCGAAATAATAAATGTGGAAATTAATTAAATGAAAGTGAAAAAGAATGAAAACTATCATAATGGAAATTTATATAAGTCGACAATTGAAAAATCCCACTCTCTAAATTTTAATTAGTAAAAATGTTTACTAATTTGAAATAGTGACTGAATTTTTGCTATTGAATTAGTAAATTTTACCAATAATTAATTAGTAGAAATTACTATTTTTACTATTTTAAAATAGTAGTAGAAAAATTTTAAAAAATTAAATTTAGAAATTTCTACTAATTTATTAATAAAATTTACTAATTCAAAAGCAAAAAGTCGGTCACTAATTTAAATTAGTAAAAATTGTTACTTCAAATTTAGAGAGTAGACTTTGTTTTTTTTTTAGTTTTTCAATTCATTATACTTTATGAAGCATTGTAATATATCATTGAAAAATATTTTATATTTTTCCTAATTACTCTAAGTATATCTTTCTAACAAGTGAAAGTCACAGCAAATCAGATAGGAAGATGATTTTTTTTTTTGGGAGTAAGAAAATCTGTTGAATGCATTAAACTTAATAAATTTCTTCTACAATTATACGCGAAATTGTTACTAATTTTTCACGTTGAATTATAAATCAAGATTAAATTTTAATCCTAACAGAAAATAGAAGGAAAAATCCGGATAAAATTACATTCATCATCAAACATTTTTTTTTTTGAACGAGAAACAAGATTTTATCAATAATTCACATTTTAAAATTTTTGTATGACTTTAAACAGAAATTTTTTTTCCCGTCAGTGCGTTCAAATTTCAATTATTCATTTTTGTTCCGCCATTCAATTTCAATCTCACAATGAAATTTTTTTACGAATCCTATACAAATACTGAAAAGTATAAAAATACATATTTTCACTAGTTTTAAAGAAAAAAGGGATTACAAAAGAAATTTCTCAAATAACAATAGAAAATGTTGAAAAAAAGTTATTAAAATAAAAATATGTAATCTACACTTTTCAGTGTATTTTTAAAATTAAATGAATTTTAACGAAGGTCCATGTCTAATTGTCTAAACTGTAACAACCACCATAACCGACCTGTCGTATGCACAAGTAGTTTGATGAACACTCATGGGTCAATGGGTCAGAAAACCTCGATTCACATACAAGTTCGGAAGTCCTGAACATATGTTTTCCTTAATTAAACTCCATTAAAGTAATACATACTCTTCTTCATTTTTGTTTAATTACTTTCTATAGTATTTTAATTATTTTTTCCCAATTTACTGCATTTCCTTCAGTTTTAATTTATTCTTAACTTAATTAAATTAATTAATTAATTTAATTTAATTTATTCTTCTTCTATTGGAATATTTTTTTTCCTAGTTAAGAAAAGAAAATAATTAAAGTACAACTGCAAGGAAAAAAATATTCTTTTAAATAAAAAAAATTAAATAACTTGAAATGAAGTAACGAAACAAGAAAGAAAAAGCGACACTAAAACTAAGACAAATGGAAAAAAAGGAGAGAAAAAAAACATCAAAATAGAAATAAAAATATAAAATTCTAATTAGAAAAAAGAGCTATAATTCAAGTTGCAATGCACCTCTAAAGTAAAGATTTGGGAAAACAACTGATTGTGCGGCAATATCCTCATCCTGACTATAACCAACAACTTCTTCTCTCTATATAAAGTAGACGCAATACAACTTGATTATAATGCGAATAAAATATATTGTTGAGGTTCTTTAACATACGAGATAGACTAGA